ATATAAAATTCATGCTCGTGTCTAGCCACAGACCATTAGGAACTGGTAATGGCGTGTAGAACCTAGCATTCAATAAGGCCCCTCTGGAACTCTAGCATACAACATACTTCTTGACAAGTTGGAAACCTGACTTGGTAATTTAGGTCAATGATTGATACTTAAAATTGTATTTTTATCAATGTTTTATATCATCATTTTGCACTTGAAGTATCAATAACTCCTTAACTAAAGCATGTTTTATAATAATATATCTAATAATATAAGATACCTATAATTTATGGTAAATGTCTATTTTTAATGCCGGCCTATCACCTAAATGAAAGGGTTGATTTATTAATTTAAGAACTGAAATTGAAAGGATAAAGAGATGGCTAAACTTAGAAAAGAGATCCCGATGCAATCCAAACCGGAACACTGTTCGGTAATTGGGTCATATCTAGAGCTATATATCTCAGATTTAGGTCCAATTTATATGGATGGAAAGGTAAGACATAGGCCTACAACTTTCATATGGAGCCCAAGATCTAAAAAGGCCATTATCAAGTCCAAATAGTAGCAACAACAAAGAAGCCCGAATCTGTCTTCCAGCCCGAGCACTGTTCGGTATTTTGGCCATATCTGGAGTTCTAGAAGTCCAAATGAGCTGAAGTTTTTACACAAGAAAGCTGAGACAATTGCCTACAACTTTCATGTTTACAACTGGCTCCAATTTTGACGTTATCAATGACGTTTTGGGCAGACAAGAGAAGATAAGGATTGTCACCAAGTCAAAAGTTGGCCACCCACTTATCAATTAGTCATCAAATCAATAGTTCCCATTTTTGGCCTATAAAAGGAGGCATTTGCCATGCATTTAGGCATCTTGGTTTCCAGATCAAGATCATGCCTATTATTATTATTATTACTACTACTACTACTACTACTACTACTACTATTACTACTAGTAGTATTGTTATTATTATTATTACTATTATTATTAGTATTACTACTATTATTATTATTGTTATTGTTATTATTGTTATTATTATTATTGTTATTACTATTATTATTGTTGTTGTTGTTGTTGTTATTATTATTGTATTATTATATTTATAATTTGTACAATTAACCTCCCTGTGATTCGACCCCGGTCTTGCCGGGTTATTTATTACTTCGACACTTCTGCACTTGTGAGAAGACATCAATCTTTTAGTCGTGTCATAGCCCTATATTTTTTTTTTATTTCCCTTTGAATCAACCTTCAAAAAGTAACTCATATACTGATGTTCGCTTTTACCTAACCTTACAAACATTTTTCAAACTTTTCAGCAGCTTTTAACATAAGATAAGTTGAATTTCATCGAGTTGCAACATCCAAACACAATGATTTCTTACACTCTATATACAAATTTCTACATACTTCTTAAATGCAAGTTGCTTAGAAGGTGAAGATCTCACAAACCTAATTGCATTTCAAATCTTAACAACCGAAACATTAATCTCTTTCAAGCAATCACGCATAATGAGGTTTACAATATGTGTACAACATCTAACATACAAATGTTCATTTGACAATATATTAGTTCACCAATTTTTCATCAAATTCTTTAAATATAAAATAATAACACTATTTAAGCTTGCGTTGTCTACTATGATAGTTAAAAATTTATCAATCCCCCAATCTAACAAACAATTCTCAATAATTGATCAATTGTCTCACCGATATGATTGAAAACTTGACAAAAATTTAAAATTCTTTTATGTAAATTCCACTTATTATTAATCCAATGAGCTATTAAAGATATATAGTTAATGCTTTGGATTGATATCCATATATCTATTGATATAGTTAATGTTTTGGATTGATATCCATATATCTATTATTTAGCATAATCGTTAACATTTAAGAGCTCTCTTTAATCTTTTCTTCTCTTTAACATAAAGTTTCAAACAATCTCTCATAATATTGAAGCGAGAAGAAACGTGAAATTTAGGCTGTACGATCCTAGAAAATAATCTAAATTCCTTACCCTCTATAAAATTAAGGCAACTTATCAATTATAACCATTTTTATTAGTGTTTGTCTATATTTATTATAATTATAACATATTGCCTTAAGAGTTCTCACATTTCGATCTCCTAATTCACCCTTTGTTTTATTAGGTTCTATTACCTAATTGTTTTTGCTTATTTTCAACCACAAAAGGAAACATTTTGTATACTTTTAAATGACTCCATATATTACTTATCCTATTAATAATAATATAAAATATATAATCATTCTATAATAATTACATTCAACTTTAAAGGTTGTAGAATCACCATCAAGTTTTATAAAATGATCCCAAATTTGTGATTTTTTTTTAATCATCAACATTTCTTTTCTTTGATATAAGGACTTGAAGCTGTTTACCTTTATTATTCATGGCGGATCCTGAAATAGTTGATGTTGGCTTATTGTTTGAAGTTGGGGTATTAGTTAATGTTGGGGTAGTGCTAGTGAATGAAAGTTTTCCATTTGTACTTACCAAATGAAAACATGTTAATACTTATGCATGTTGAAATATACAGTATATAACTTTTAAGAAAGGTTAATAAACAAGATAAAACGATGAAAAACATAGCATTTATCAAATAAAGAACTTAAAAGAACAATTAATTGCAATGTCATGATGCAACAACCAATAACTATGGATAAAAAAACCTAAAAAATAGCAAAGCATCAATTAGAAACATTCAAGAAAGTAAATAACATACTTAAAAACCAAATTGAAATTAAAACTGTATAAACCAGAAAAAGTAATAGATAGTCAACTGGACTTGAAAGTTGAAGCACATAAATATGAAGCACATAAATAACAATGAATCTCAACAATAAAACACAATGAAATAGACTTAATCATAACATGAAAAAAAAATGATTTAAACAGCAACCTAAAGCATGAAATAAGAGCAGGTTTGATTGTAGAAAAAGAACACAAAAATTAAGTGAATAAGGATTGGTGATGTTAATCTATCATTGAATAAAAAGACTACACGTTCAAAGGAATATTGCAAAAATTTGACTCTTGTCAATATCAAGTAATCAACTATTTACTAAAGATCTAAAGAATGAACAATCATCAAAATAAAAAATAATAATCTATCTCAATACATGAAAGAAACAAGGAAAGGTGAAAAAAGAGGATATGGTATCTAAAATCATATTTTAATCAATCAATGATTATGAAAAAACAATAGGGTAAAAGTGGACCCCCTAGTCCCTAGTGACATATGTTTCAACAAATAAATGAAATTAAAATATAGATCCAAATCGATAACTTCTTTAACAAATAAAAACCACAACTTACCTAGAAAAGCATATTTAAAACCCAACTTTTATGAAACTAAATAATCCAAACTTGTACATAAAACAATTTAATCATATATTATCATGTTACTTATACGCAAAACTAGTTGTAGTTGGTTGTTTTTATGACAATTAGTTATAGAAGCTATTTAGTAGATGGTCGTAGTGGTCAACAAGCTAGAAAATCAGTCATCATATGATTTCTTGATAATTAATGATTGGGTTAACATAAGCTCGATTCGAATTCAAAGTAATATTTATGTCTTTATTCACTACCATAGATAAGCTCGATTCGAATTCAAAGTAATATTGATGAATTGTTATAGAAATGATATCAATAACTAATATCGTTTTTTTTGTTCATAAAAAAAGAATAATCAACTATCTTTTAATTTGTTTGCTTTTATCTCTAGATTTTTCTATCTATTCCAACAACCAATTTCCTATATTCTAATCCCAATGATAAAGCAAAATCAACAAAAAGCTAAACTTCACAAAGCATATGTCAAAGAAAAAAAAGTAACAGAGTGAGAAATCTTATTACAAAGAACTAAAGAAAGGGTGCTTAGATGGATTACTACTAAGGCTTAGCTGCTTGGGGCTATTGTTGGGATGCTAGGTCTGAGATGTCTAGCATTTGAAGGCTTTTCTACTAGATCTGATTCATGTCTTTATTCATTACCATATAAGGTTTTCCTAAACATAGGATCTAAGCCTAAGCTCGTTGGACTTGCTAAGGGAACCTCTTTCGAGATGTTAATAATAGTCCTAGTGTGGTAACATAGTTAAGTAGAGGAGAAGAAAGACAAGCAATGCTCTAGAGTTTGTTTAACAAAGATAATGGCTCACCATATGATGATCTAATGACCGATAAAAATCCTAGAATTGGATGTGGCACTGTGGATTGAAGATTAAGGAGGAGAAGAAAGATATTGTCTATATCTCTAAACTTTTGAAGGGAGGGGGTGGCATGCGAATGAAGTTAGTCCACCAGGTTAATGAGTTATTGTTTATAAAAAAGTTTTTTTTTTATTTCTAAACTAAGCTGATTGGGTTTGGATTGCTTAATTTAATTTAAGGACTTGCTAAAGGAACCTCTTTCGAGATGTTAATAATAGTCCTAGTGTGGTAACATAGTTAAGTAGAGGAGAAGAAAGACAAGCAATGCTCTAAGGTTTGTTTAACAAAGATAATGGCTCACCATATGGTGATCTAATGACCGATAAAGATCCTAGAATTGGGTGTGGCACTGTGGATTGAAGATTAAGGAGGAGAAGAAAGATATTGTCTATATCTCTAAACTTTTGAAGGGAGGGGGTGGCATGCGAATGAAGTTAGTCTACCAGGTTAATGAGTTATTGTTTATAAAAAAGCTTTTTTTTATTTCTAAACTAAGCTGATTCGATTCGGATTGCTTAATTTAATCATTATAAAATTAAAAACTAAACCAAACCAAATATTTTTCTAAATATTCTAACTTGTTTAACAAGTTTTTTTCATGATTTAATTTTTATAATAATTTATTTTTAATTTTTTTAGTTAAATCAGTTATTTGATATTTTTACTCTCCGATTCCTTAACACTGTGGAGGGCAAAAAGGTCCTGTAACAATCCAGCTTTTTCGATAATAAAAAAAAAGAAAAAAAAATCACTGCCTTCTTGTCGTAGCCCCGCCCTACTGCTTCTCCAGAAACTTCCGCTTCCGCTTCTTAAAAAGAACAGAACACAAAAACACACCTTCTGAAAGTAAACAAGTTCCGTTGCTCCCACTTCTCCCAGTTTTACTATTAATTAAAATAAAAATAAAATGTTCAAGAAGGCGATTGAGGCAAAATCTCATCAGAGACTCTCTGGAGCTGACCGGAAAAAGCTCAAACGAACTATCAGAGACCGCTTTCATCGGGCCTCCGATGCTGATATAGATGCTTTGCTCCCTCCCAAAGTAACACTATTTTCTTCTTCCCCCCCCCTCAATTTCTTTGTTTGACATTATTATTATTATTACTATCCGTTTAGTGTGTAATTAATAGTTTAAAGTTGTAATTTTGATGCATCTGTACTCAAATTCTTTTTATTTTTTTTAGAATTTATATAAGAAAATGATTTCACCAGTGCAAATGTGCTTGAAAGAAGAAGCAATTAGTTTTAGTGCTACTTGATATGTTAATTCTCTTTACCTTTGATCGCTGGATCGCTGTTTTGATTATTGCTCTGATGTTTTGTTATGATTGTTGTGTTTAGGCGGAAATTACTGTTTCAAAGTTTGTAAATAGGGTTCATTTATATGGTGTTGAAGGTAGCTTTCCTATGTTTTTCGATGTTGATGGCCGAGGCTCTGAAATTTTCCCCACAGGTTAGGTTTCACACTTTCATGTCTTATGTTTCAATCCACTTTCTCGCATTTTATTCACAAATAATTGAAGTTTGTTAAAATGTAAGTATGGATAGTGAACGCTTCCATTCCATATTTGCTTGTCATGCTGCTTTTTCTTGAAAGTCAGGACAATTTATGTAGTTTAGCAGGTTTAAATTCTGCTACATCATTATTTATCACATGGAGGATTCTAATGGCAGGGAGGCTTCTGTTTGGTGGTGTGGTATACTTGGTTCTAGAGTAGGTCAATGCCTTCTGAATCAACTTGTGGGCTATTCACCATTGATGATGGATGGGTTTCTAACTCTTGATGACCCCCTCTCCACTGGGGCAAATAAAGACAATAAGAAAATTTTAATGTTTTATGTAGTTTATGAAGGGATATCGATTGTTTTTAATGTTGTTTTTGAGTGGAATCAAATTATCAAGATTGAATTGAATTGAATTGAGGAGAAATGACCTTTTGCCAGAGGTGGCTGTGGAGCTCTCCTGTCATGCATATATGTTGATATTCTTCCCAGAAAGTTTATCTCTAGTTTCCTTTATTGTGGAGAATCTGATTGAATTACTTGCTACTGGATAGAACCAAGCAACCTGAATTTGTCTTTCTTGCTTCTGTAATTGACATGTTAAAAAGTCAAATTATACTTCATTAGTAAACAATTCAAATTTAGAGTTGAGTCACAAGGACAGGATACTGGTTCAAGAAACCATGCCTTGCTTCTATATATTAAAGACAGTTTTGTTGGTGATCATAAATACTGGAGCAGATAGTTGAATAGGTTTTCAGCCTTACTATTGAATGTTGATGCAAGAGATCCACATATTTCTCTCCATTTTTGATAGCTAATAAATGGGTTCCCTTTCATTAAAAGGCAGAATAAAGGAGCCTTAAAAAATGAACCTCCAATTTCATTCTCTAATCAGAAGTGACACAATTATTTAAACAGGAACTTGATGCTGTGGTGAAATACATTTTTGTTTGTTTTCTTGTCTGATTTTATTTTTGTCTCTGGCTTGATGCAGTTTTTGCCCTCTGGAAGGTCCCTGAGATGTTGCCTTCTTTCATTCTGAAAGGGGGTGAGGTATCTCGATTTGTCATTGGAGGAGCAGATCTGATGTTTCCTGGTATTAGTATACCTGCTGAAGGCCTTCCTTCTTTTCTAGAAGGTGAGCCATGGGCTGTAAAAGTTCCTGGGAATCCAGCACCTATTGCCGTAAGCTTTTCTCTCTCATCTTCACTTGGGTATTATTGTTCATGCCTTATCTCAGGGAGTTGGCTATGCCTCTTATTCTACCTCATTCATGACTGAGTTGGTTTAGATTACTACTTTTATGAGTAGGGATAAAGATAACTTTAATTTTGTGCAGGTTGGGTCTACCACTATGAGCACTGCTGAAGCCTTGAAGGCTGGTTTGCGCGGAAAGGCCTTACGGATAACTCATTATTATCGGGATTTACTTTGGTTAGTGTACCTTCTATTTGGAGAGATTAGTTATTAAGTGTTTTCATCGTTGACATGCTCAAGGAATCATCTGCAGGGAGTCAGTTGAGGGACATTATGTGCCAAATGCAGGTTTCCTTGAAGATGTTGTCTTTGAGGATCCTGTATTCTTATCATCTGCCCAGGTTCCTGATTCATGTGAAGGTTCTGGTGATTCTTCAAATCATGAGAATGATGGTGTTGACAGCAAAGAAGTTGGGGAATCTGCTGATGTAAAAGATCCCATATCAGACAGTCATCCCACTTCCAAGACACAACTTGATTCTGATACTGATATTGTAGAACAAGTAACAAAAGCTATAGGTGGTTTTAAGGTTACGGATAATATTGCTGCTGATGAATCCACCACAGTTGTTGAAGAACAGCATACTTTGTCTGCTGAAGACTTAGATGCTTATTTGGACAAATGTCTTTTGCAAGCCCTGCATACAACTGTCAATGACAAAGATCTTCCAATGCCAGGAAGCACTTTATGGTAATATTCATGTCCTTTTTTTATTCTTTTTTTTTTTTCCTGTCAGTTTGATGAAGGGATGTTAATTGAGGTTCCAAAAGATGGGCACCACTTCCTGTACCCTGTTAAGTATACTAGGACGCCAGATGATGTTAAATTGCTTATAATTTAGCTTGTCTGCTCAGTAAATCCTCTGAGGAAAGATATTTTAGCTTTGAAACCCAAGGATCCTTCTCTTCAAAAACTCTTCCAAGTCTCTCCAAAACAATCAAAAGTGAATTCGAGGAAACCAGCACAAAGCCAAAAACTATTAACTGGTTATGACTGCTAACTAGCTCCCAACTGAAAAGCAAAAAACCCCCTGAAAGAAAAAAAGGGATTAAACCTCAGTATGATGTCCATCACCTGACCATACACTCTCTAAGAGAGGATCTCTTTCGCCTAGAATTCAGATGATGAACGCCTTCAATCTTCTACCCCTCCTAAAAGGAACCAAAAAAGAATACAAGGAAGCAAACTCTAAAAGCTTTTCCTTTTATCCTCCTCAGAAACAACCACGCATTGCCATCTTTTGAACAGTAAGGACCAAGGTGTCGGCAGCCAAATCCAAGAAGACAAATGCAATGGCCAGGTCCACAGCTGCGAATTAGCCAACATAATAGCATTTTCCTCTTCACTCTTGCACACAATTTAGCAGCCATTCTAAAGTTGAAATGGTGTATAAGGAAGCAGCATGGTTCGCTTCTCATGAATTGGTGTATTAGCTACTGTCATATGATCACTTAACAACACCTTACTAAAATCCACATTTTAGAGCAATGGAAAATCTATTTTGAAGTTTTGAACCCCCATCGATAATCCTTTCCAAATCTAACTCTCTGAACTATTTCCCAAATTAAATCTCATGACAGAGACCTAAGAGACACCAACTGCTCTAGTGCTTTGCCTCTAAAGCCCATTCCACAGATACTGCTACAATTTTTAAAGTTTATCCTTGTTTCTTGGTTCTCCAAAATCATTCTTTCAAAGGCTTTTCCAGGAGAATCCAAGTATATGATGCCTCAAAACTTATGATTTGGTTTTTTGCATGGATTGCCAAGTCTCTAGTGTTGGCAAAAATGTCACGGCTAAATTTAGAAAGGAAAATGTAGCAGATGTCCAATTTCATATGCACATCAAACATGCCATTTTTCTATAGACCTTTCAACTCCATGTTAATAAGATAACATTGAATTATTCCCATTTCTCTTCTCATAATTGCTATTAAAAACCTCAACTATCAGAATGAAGCATTATTTCCTACTGAAATCCATCATAAGGTAAGGCACATAATTAATGACTTTGAGAATGATGCCAATCACCAAGTATTCTTTGGAAATGTGATCTCTAACATTAGGTTTCAGGAATATGGGTGCAGATGAGAGTGACATCTTCTAGAATTCCATAAATTTAATTGACATTTCTGAAGCTTGGAAACCTTGAAGCATTTTATTTGATCTGCATTGATGCTGAATATATGAATTCCATAATGATTTCTGTTAAATTTGATTGTGGAATTATGCTAATTGTAGCTGAGCTGGACTATACTGTACAGTTTACACACACACACATACACACATGATGCTTGACATTATTCCAACTGATAATTTGATTTACATATTGCTTGAATATTTTAGGCTTAGAACTTAAATTTCTGTTGGGAGGGTGTTAAATGTTATGTGCTTGAAATGAGAGGATTTCTCTTTAGATAGGTTTTAGCTTGCAGTTTTCACATTTAGGTGGGAATTTTTTTCATGATTCTCTTGCTTGCTTTTATAAAAAAATATTTGTAATTGGTGCAGGTCCAACCATGTATTACCTTGTAGACCTTCAGGTATCACACTAGATATCAAAAAATCATCACACAAGAAATTGTCCAAGTGGTTACAAGCTAAATCATCTTCAGGATTGGTGGGTTCTTCCTTCCCTTCATATGCTCCCTCCTTTCCTTCCTCTTTAGTCAAGTTATTCATGCTGTACTGAAAATGTGCATCTTTTCTTTGTTCTTAGATAACGTTATCTTAATATGATAACCTGTTTTTTTCAAACAAAAAAACCATTGTTCACTACTTATAACAAAATGTTGCAGTTTAGGGTGACATTGTAATTGAGGTTCAATTCTTTTATTTAGAGAACCCAGACAGATAAGTCTCAACTATTTTCTATAATCTCTAATTCTTTATTCTTCCACTGAAACCTTAAGTTCTAGTTGCAGGATAGGATCTATGAAGAAGTCTGGTAATTTATCATATATATCAATATTCACATAACTCCCTGAAACCGTGAATTATATTTGTAATCCCTGGTTAGTTGTATCTAGAAAGTAAAGATAACTTCCAAGGACCGTGGCAGTTAATTGGCATTCTACCATGTTGTAGTTCAAGAGGCCACATGATGTGCTAGCATGTAATCAATGTGTTCTGATACCTGTCCATGGATCAAATGGTCTCTTCTCTGTCATTGAGTTTACCCCAGACAATAAAAAAAAGAAAAAAACTGCATCACGTCCTTTATCCACCCAGTATTCTGCACTGAAAACCTTAAAAATTGGTCATTGACAGGTTCAAAACATGATTTATTTCCTGATAGAAAAAAAATGATCTAACTGGAAGTAATCATACCTGTAGAATGAAATTCGGTGTTGAAGTGGAAAAGTGGCACTGGAGTCGTAGCTATTGAAAAGGCTTTGCTTGATGGATGAAGTTTGGTTGGCTGGCACCACACTATGATAGGGAATGCTAGATAATGACAGCTTTTTCATAAAATGACATAATTTATGATGAAGGTATTTAAAATGTATGGAAGAATTGGATAACAAATTAGGGTATTCACAGGAATGTAGAGTTAAGCATGTTGAGACTGAGTTAAGGGTTTTATAACATGGTTTGGTAGAAGTAGTTGTTTCGAGTGCAATGAGAATGCTATTGAGCTACAATTGTAGTTCTTACTTTCAGGTATGTGCTGAGGCACATCTAGGTGTCATTATACAGAAGCTGTAGCCTGCTTTGGTTTCTGTTTCTTCTCCATAGAAGCTGGAGAAACTTGTCATAGTGAAGGGAATGACAGCTTGCTGTTATTTTGGGAGGATTTATTGTTTATTTGCAGGGGCCTTTGAAGAATTTCTTTCTTTCTTTCTTTGGATGGCCGTGCTGCTGTTGCTAATTACATAAACATGGATATATATTGTAGTTTACCAGGGCTAGTTAGCTAAGAGATAGGTTCCAGTTATTTTAGGAGACTGAGAGCTTCCATACCATGAAAAGTGATCTACTTCTATGGAGTTTCAGTTGAATTAGTATTTGTTTTTTTGAACTTTATGGTCACAAACTGAAAGATATTGTTCTACTGCCAATCAATCACATTGGAATTGGTGATGGGTTTTGAGCTAATGTCTGTGACCTTTGTGGTTCAGTGAAGATCTGTTTGATTATGAATGAGAAAACCATCCATTAGAGGGCTGTAACTGTGTCTGCATGTCTGTCTTTACTCATAGTATAATCCACAAGTGGAGAGAGGAAAAGGGCTATCGAGGCATGCTATGGAGATGGAAGTTTTTGTTTACATATTTTATTTTTTCATTTATAATCAATCTTATTTTTTGTTAAGTTGCACATGTATTAAGTAGATATATGCTTGATGTTGAGTTTGCAATGTTTGTTTTCTGTTAACAGATTTCGGTAAAAGAAGACAAATATAAAAAGGAAACTGTCCTATTTTCTGTGAACCGCAGTCACCCAGACTACTTATCCTTCAAACCAGAAAGAAGGCAGGAGCAGAAGGTTGATCAGGGTGGTGATCAGGCTGTTAAAGAAACCCGATCACCAAAACTGCTTGAAGTGTCTGAGATTTATAAACCAAGTGTACATGTCAATCCCATTTTTGCTTTTGTTGGAGCTGATACTGGGAAGCTATACAGTGCTTCAGAAGCCTCTGATGTTGTATTCAAGTACATTGAGAAAGGACATCTGGTAAAGCCAATGAACAAGTCCATTGTGGTTCTGGATCCAACCTTATGTGATGCTTTGTTCAAGGGAGCTATCAAGAAAGGATCAGCATACCCGACTGAGATTCATAAGAAAGATTTAGGATCTACATTTGTAAGCCGGATGCAGGCCCACTACATTGTAACCAGAGGAAGCGAATCAGTTGTTCGTAAAGGTTCAGTGAGAACAATTCAGATATTGACTGAAAGACGTCAAGGTAACAAGAAGGTGACAAAACTCTCAGGCATGGAAACATTCTTGATGGATGCTGATGCATTAGCATCAGAACTGCAGAAAAAGTTTGCTTGTAGTACATCAGTGTCAGAGTTACCAGGTAATTTTTTTCTCCACTTTTTATGAATTGGTGGTTGTAGGTAGAACATATTTGTGTTGCTTCTCTATCAAAGCATTTTGGTTTCAATGTGGCAGTGAGAATAGGATCACAAGGAAAGTAACTTGTACAGAAGTTGCTTGTATGCTGTTAAACTGATTGTGGCTTTTGAATATTATCACTGTTTTCTTAAATCTGTAAAAAAGAAAAAAAGAGAAGCAAAAATTCTCAGCAATCCTCTACTTGATTAGCTGTGATATCACTGAATAGAGTTCTTCATACATAGCATTTCTCACCCTTTGTATGCTGTAGTGGTTCAGAGTTCCTTGGGTAGTTCCCCTTAGTGTTGTCAAAAGCAAAAGGCACCCTAAGACGTCAAGGCTGTCAAATGCCTGAAGCCCCAGGCACTCGCTTGAATATAACAAGGCGCAATGCTATAAATTCAAATAAATTATATATATAATATTATAATAAATAATCACAAATATATATCTTAAAAATAAAGATTAGAAAATCAAAGTGAAACTCAAAATATCTTAACATAGTCATAAAAGTTGTACTATTCACCATTAAAAACAAAATAAGACAACTTAAAAGAGCAAGTGGATTACAATAGTTAAACTTAAATATCATCATCATTAATCTTCCAACACATCATCATCCTTGCTTTCATCTCCTTCACAGTCCCCATATCCACCATTTCAAGATGATCATTTGAATCATCACTTACACTATAATGCACTCCTTTAGCATGGCTGCCACTAAGCCACGATGCTCTCTTTAAATGTGCCTCTAGTTCCATTTTGATGATCTTTTTTCTTTTTAAAACCCTACTCTTTACTTTTACAACTATCCTTAAATTATTTTTTGGCGGTGGATAGAAAAAATAAAATGTGCGGGGGGTCTCACCTCGCCTTGCCTGGAGCTTCTAGGCAAGTGCCTCAGCGCCTCTTGACAAAACTGGTTCCCTTTGCTGATATTCAACAGCGTTGAGTTTTCTTTAATATTGAGACATATTTCTTTTTTCTATTTTCCATCATTTGAAGTTTTTTCCTTTTCCTCTTGTTTTTTTTGGAAGTGTTGCTTGCTCTCCAGCAAGTTTGGGGCTTACGCTCTCATGTTTGTAGTTTTTTCCTCCTTAGAGTTATCTGAATAAATTGAATAGAAAGAAGATATTACATCAGTTTCCACTAGGTTTCTAATTTTTATGTGGTTGTGCAATCCAAACTTGTTAATCTACTTTAGGGAGAAAGAACAGGGTTCGTGTGTCTCATAATTGAAGCTATGGTGGTTGTACTGGACATTTTGGAGTATTAATTGTTCTCCAAGGAATTTTGGTATATTCTATTCTTGATGTGACACCTTCTCTTACTAAAAACATGAAAATAAAAATAAAAATATAGAGAGATAAACATGTGAAAGCATCTGTTTCTTCTATTCATTTTATGAGGAATCAGTTGTGATAGATCACGTAGCAAGAAACTGAAATGCAAAAATCTTTATATATATAGCTAGAAACATCATTAGATGTAGTTGGAAAAAAAGATTTTTGCATTGAGAACATGAATTCAATGCAACAAGGATGCTAGGTCATCTTGTGTTGGTGGAATTTCAAAAGAAGAGGGCAAAAACAAATGAGAAGAAAGTCATTGTTGGTCATTTTGAAGCTCAATTTATAATGGCGTTACTTAGAAAGATGGTAGAGGTAGAAAACGAATGAGAGTCACCTACCAGGACCCTGGAAGCAATGTCAAATACCTGCAGATGCTGAAGGTGGGTAATCTGCTTCCTGTGTGTTCAGGTTGATGTCTAGTTCTTTTTTTGGCATTTTACTGTAATTTCATTGTGTCCAGTTTCAAACACCCTTTAAAAGGGAAGTCGACTACTTGGGTGAGTTGTAGCATCAGGGGCATGAAGTGATCATGCTAGTTGTGATACAATAGTTGCAAGAGTGGCAGCAATTTCTGTGGCGGTAGCAGTAAGGGACTGATGTTATAATGTTAATAGTGGAGTGGAGTTGAGGATTGCTGGAGGGATAAGTGGTGATTTGGATTGTTGAACTGTTAGGTGCCACTATCCCTGTATGAACTTGGTTGATCAAAAAATTACAAGCTGGTAGAAAATAGTAGGATAGCTGTCATATGATCTTATAATCTAAATGGAACACATTTTGTTTACTAGGAATCTAAAATTAAGTAGTTGGATTGGACTCGTATGGATATCTTGTTGGATTGGGCTTCTTATTGCTATTCTTTTTCATAATTAAGCAGGCCTAAAGTAATTGTAATTTAATGCAACTGAAAAAGGTGTACCCTAGTTTATAAGATTTCTGGTATGTAGATTGCATTAGTTGTAATGTTATGGGAGTGCTAATGTTGGCTGTAGTGGTGGAAGTGACTGCAATGACGGTGGCGTATGTTGTAGTGGTGGGAAGTTGGATATTGTGTGGTGGTGCATTACTTATAGCTTCCTTGTTCGTAGACAAAGCTGATTCGGAATTGTCTTTCATTTCAAGGCTTGTATCCATGCGCTTCATATTCGCTTAGAGTTTGCTCCAAGAAATATAGCCATCCCTACCCCTTCACATCAATCTCACGAGCCTCTTATCCATTCTCATTTGATCATAGCGGAGGGTGAGCAAGTCAAAATAGCAAAACTCACATTGGGTTTAGGGATAATCAGGCTCGAACTGATGACATGTGATCACCTCTCTTTGGAGTTGCGAGGTTAGGAGAAAATCTCTTTATGCTTATAAAAATGTGGCGGCTGCGCAAAATCCCATTTCTTCTTTTAAAATGGCATAGCTTTAATAAGCTGAATTGAGGAGTCTTTGGAACTTTAGAACAGTACTAGAGTATGTTACAATGTTTTGAATATCCTGAATCCTGAATCATTTTATTATTTGCTTTATTCATTCATAGTTATTTAGTGTTCCTGAATTTGTATGCTCATATTTTATTTTCAGGTAAGAAAGGGCATGAGGTTCTTATTCAAGGTGGTGTAATTGATGACCTGGCAAGACATCTGGTTGAACAGTATGGGGTGCCCAAAAGATACATTGAAGTTCTTGATAAAACTAAAAAATAAGATGTGATTATCGGTTAGTTTTCTCTACCCAATTAATCTTTTAAATTTTAATATATTGTTGTAGTTTTCCATTAAGGTCTATTTTCTCCATAAATTAAGCACAATTCATTCTTTTTTCCATAGCACCATTTATTCTTTTGCTGGTTTTGCAAGAGTGAAATTGCAATGCATGCTGTGTTTTTTTTTTTTTTTTTTTTTTTTTTTTTTTTTTTTTTTTTTTTTGTTTCCTTCTATGTTGTCATGGAGGCCTATGTATGTACAATTGCTAACTTGTTTCTTGTCTTGATATTTACTTGCATTTATTCTACCAAGTTTACCCTTGAGAGAATAAATCAATTTATATTGAGAAGTCCTCGCCAGATAGGCTTCTGAAAGATAATCATTAGATTAGCAGGCCCAATCTAAGTGGGACCTTTTTGGGAAGCCTATAAGGTTAGGCCTACCATTTTTACCCTGGAAATTCAGGAAAAATACCTCAGAAGATTCAGACAAGTCTTTCTATATTTCAAATTATGGCCAGCTTGCATAGTTGTTGCAAAGCGGTCATTATTGCCAATTATAATGTGTAGGCATGTTTATGTACTGAGTAGCTAACTATTTTAAAGGTGTTGAGGCTTGATGGCATACCTTTTTTGGTTTAGCGCATTATAGTAGCCTCCGGTGGTAATTGGTTAGCAATCTATAGAATATATTTTCGTGAACAGATTGTGTTTGCAACATAAATGGAGTTGAATTAATGTAGTTGGAATAGAGTGTTCTTAGCAGTAATTTTCTAATAATCTGTCTTAGTTTGTACATTAATTTGTAAGTTAGCATGTGCCAAGAAGCACACATTTTTTAATATGAGCTAGTGTTTGTTGGCTTGGGTAGGTGCTTGAAGACTAATTTGGCTGGCTGAGATTTAGACCCGATTGATTTGGTTTGGTACATCATATAAAACAGGGCTCATGTCTGTGCAAATTGAACTGGATTACTAATGACCTTATTCCTCTTTTTAGATTTGCATACTCTTGACATAGTCTTGCAAGTTTCTAACAAAGACAATTTCTTTCAGCTTTAGTAGCAAATGTAGCATAGGGGATCTCATCCTTCCTATACCTGAGATTTAAAACTTAATGAAACCATTTTGAAGTGCAGTTATACATGTTTAATGCATGTGATGTTAAACTGGATCTGGAGCGTGCCAAGGCAAAAGGCCATATCACTGGGCCTTGATTAACAAGCAGTGATGATGCTCTTGTGCTTGCATGTAAAGTGGTGATGGTGATTATAAACCTCTCTCTGCCTAGACTGATTATCTTAGGTTACGTGTTTGTTTGGCTGCTATCTGAGAATATTAGTTGGGCTGACAACTGGTCAGTTTCTGGAAAGAACACCTCTCTGATGATACTGTCTTACCAATGCAAATTCAATTGTGTTCACCTTAGAAATTTGGTGATCTTAAATAGGGGAAAGATTACCCCCATTGAGAAATTCAACCACGTGATAGGAGGATAATGATTTTTTAGCTGAATTCAACCACGTGATAGGAGGATAATGATATATATATATATATATTTATTTATCACTGGGAGTCTCATCAGCTTTCATGATGGGGTAGACCTCCCTTCTTTAATCCTCGACCCTTGGTATTAGCTGGATTTGATTTCAAATCACTTGGTTCAATGCCAAGTAACTGTACCAGCTTAGCTGGCTTGCCCCCCGCCCCCCCCTGTGCGTTCTTCCTGTTTGATATTTATCCAGTATTGGCCCAACAATATTGGACACGCATTTATCCAATGCTTTCTCATTGTTCTGTACTCATCACTCAGTTAATTCCTTAAATCAAGTGCAGGCATATACAAGTGTCACTGTCATGAGGTTACAGGAGGCAATGGAATGGTGTGATAACAACTTTCAACCTCACTCTCTATGGTTTGTTGAAGTTAATGGATGCAATCCAGAAACGGGTGCTGAAGAGAGGTTAGAATAATTCTTAAACTTGCCTCAATACAATGAAAAGAGTGTACAGAAGTTCTTGCGCTCCAGAGTATAGGTATATGAAGTTTCTTTTCGTGGAGATGATTAGCTGTTTTATCTTACTCGAATTGAGTTGACTATGGTCTGGTTTAGAGGACTGCTCAAAGCTGTGTTTTGGTATCTGGTCAACTCTTTACCGCACCTCATAGTTATGCAACATACATTTCAACACTTCATGTCACAAGTTGCGAATTAATATGTTTATTTGTAAGTTTTTATGTTGACTATGCGAGTCTTCAATGTTACTAGGAATGCAAGTGTGCATTGTAAAGATCATTGTTGCTTTCGCCATGACCTTGTGGCGCATTTTGGCTGTTATTTTGGTGATCAAGATGGTGGACAGCATAGCTGTGATTTGAGGATGAGGACGGGGTGTGCATCAGAAATGTTTGGAAATGGTTTAAAGACCAAATGAAGTCCCAAAATGATTGGTGAATTGGACCGATTACTTAGTATTTCCATTTTACATGTATTCTGTGTCACACTTATACAAGGGTCAGAAGAGAGAATGGAGATGGAAAAGAAAGAAAACTCTAATTAGGATCAAGATGATAGATGGAGGGAGAGCTAAAAGGTTCCATCAATGGGTTGAAGGAAGCCACTTGTGATGGTGCTTTGAAGGTGGGAAGATGGGAGTCTATTTATCGGGTTTATAACCGAAAAAATAGAAATAATTCCATTTGATGGTGGTAATATATATATATATTCGACTCTGGAGCCATGTAACCTCGAGTTTCATCTTATCCTTGGGCAGTGATTGGCAGATTCAACACCATCCCATAGCTGAAAACGTGTACTTTGGATGTGATTGGCAGATTCAAAACCCACTCTGGAGCCATGTAACGTCGAGTTCCTCTTATCCTTGAGAAGCTTGATTCTACTGGGTGGAGCCATGTAACGTCGAGTTCCTCTTATGCTTGAGAAGCTTGATTCTACTGGGCTCTCTCTCCCTTTTTATTTGCCGAGAGAGGCCAAAATCTGAGAGCTTCGCCTGGTAGTTGTTATCTAGAAGTGTATTTTGAGGCTTTACACCACAATGCAAAACCCACTCCAAACACTCTTCATGTAAATAAGCAAGGCCTCTAGCAGTTCCCACAGCAATGTCAATCCTCTTTTCATAGTCAAGCACGTGGGAAGATAATTTATCAGTTAATGTGATTGAGCTTCCCGATTATGCTGACTTAAGCTAGGAATTCTGCTTCTCCTTGAATAGCCTCATTCAATTGATTAATCGCTGCAACTCTGCCGTCAGATAGTATTCCTTTGTATTCAATTCCTCCTCCACGTCTTCCAATCTCTTCGCAAAAATCCCCAGTTGCTTTCTTTAGCTCAAGAGCACGTCAATTTTCTGAAGTCAATTTCAATACAAAAATAACAATGTTTACAATTCCTCCACCTGTGTGGTTATGGTTTCTTATCAGGAAACACCACACCAATAAAACACCAAAGAATTCAACTACTCCAGATGCACAAACAAACCAAAGGATAGATTTCATTGTTCCATTTTATTGACTTTCTGCATAACTTCTGCTCAGCTGCGTGACAAGTTCACCAGAGCAATCTAACCTGAATTTTTCAGCAGGAATGTTGGAATGGAGCTGCTTTATGGCCTTTTCAATTAGACGTTTCCTTCAAAATTTGGCCAAATATGTCCATTTAGCAACGCTGTCTTTGTGAAACAATACGGAATATTACTAGGATAGTCATGCTTGATGAATTTACACTGGAAACCTTTGCAATCACACGTCTGCAAGCATAAATCCTTGCAGGTGTCTAGGGTGTAATTAGGATAAAAGACAAAATCATAGCCAAAAACTCGGCATTAGTCAGTTGAAGAAAGTCAGTCTCATTTTAACCACAATAAACATTGAAATCTGGTTCACAACCCAAAGAACAGTCTATATGATCCTTGATCTTGAATCCTGGAAGGCAAGAACATTTTCTACCAAAATCAGGAACATAGCTGCAATAATTGTTACGACTTGATTCCCAAATCCATGATTGATATATAAATAAAATTTCTTTTCAAGGTTCTATACTTATGCAAACCCAAACTTACATACAATTTTATCCTTTAAACAACTCAATCAGAATTTAATGTAATATTAACAACAAACTAATTTCATAATATAATTTAATTGTCTTAATACAGGAGTTAATATAATTTCATAGTTTTGGAGCACTAACTAGACAAAGAAAAATGTACAAATTACAACCAAAAGAGCAGTTTCTGAAGGTTCAATAAAAATGACATACTATAAAGCTATAAACTTGAAAATGATAAATAATGAGAGCGTGAGTTCAACAACTAAGTGAGTATATAATGTTCAATATATACACATGAGGTAATATAACAATGATGAATATATACACAATTATGGCTCTAAGTTTCTATAGGAAGGTCTATCAAATAGGCCATAACAATAATATTATAAGGTAAACATCGTCAGAAAATCAAAATACAATAAGCATAAGGCTCCGTACTATAGGATGATCAATCCACACAGGGTGGTGACTTCTCTGAACAACTAGGATTCAGATATGATGTGCACAAAGACTAACACTACCCTGTTAGCATGAGTATTTTGACACGACTAAAAGATTGATGTCTTCTCCCAAGTGTAGGAGTGTCGAAGTAATAAATAACTCGGCAAGACCGAGGTTGAACTACAAGGAGGTTAAGTGTATAAATTATAGATAACAATAATACAATAATAACAATAACAACAATAATAGTAACAATAATTACAATAATAATAAAAATAATAGTAGTAGTAGTAGTAGTAGTAATAATAATAATAATTATAATTATAAAGAAGAAAAAGAAGAAGAAGAAAAAGAAAAAGTTGATGAGAACTTTGAGATGAAAGATTAATGTAAGAATTA